TCAACGCACTGTTATACCAATAATTACACATTGCCGGGAATCGGATCAGACATCTGCTGCATCGCGCGCACAAGACACACAGCCGGACGGCAGACAAACGCTTCTTTTTATAATAATATATACGTATATACTCATAATATGTCGATTGAAATCATTGTTCACGCAGGACGGCACGTGGGTAAATAGACGAACAAATAATTTTACAACGGTATAATTAGAGCAATTTTTTTTTTTACGATTTATTCGGTATGTAGCGCCATCTATCCGTACGACTATCGTTACGATAAAAAATAACGGACCCTAACAATAAAGCCTATGAAATTAAACAATTTCCGTCTTATCGCAATAATGATATTAATAAAAAAAAAAAAACAATGGTGTGATTGACAGATCGTTTCGACTGTATAATATTTTGTGCGAGCATTATTATTATAATATAGACTAATATTTTTTTTTTTTTTAACCATATCGATAATTTTTGTTACGTCATGTATATTAGAAAACCCATAACGAGATCAAAGTGAACAAACACTACAGTGAATATGTTTATGAACTATAAACGAATTACCGTAATACTGTGAATTCATATAGGTTGAAAAAATAACAAAAAAAACCCACAAATGCGTTTGAAAAACTATAGACTAGACAACGTAATAATAAAATATCGTTTAAAAATTTAGTAAAAAATGGGAGGAAAATGGCAAAAAACTGAAGCAGCTATACATGACAATTTTTTTTTGTGCCATTTCTGATGTTGCCTGTTAATTTTTAAAAATGAAATTTGTTCCAGATTTTACTGATCCAAATACTGCAGTTCCGTGTGACGCAGTTTCAGATAATGCTGAACTCCCCATTTTACACGATTATACTAAAAAACAAAACTCAAAAAGTACCCGAATTAACCTATGAATGAGTATTTTCTTCTTTGTGATATTATTTAAACGACGCGAGGTGTGATTTCGTCGTTTCCAAGACTAACGTGACTTTTTGTCAAAAATAAAATATTGTAATGTATAAACGACAAGCATTACAACATATAGCTACAACATGCAGGTCCGGAAATTCGCTAATAACACATGCGGAGGGGGATAGCTTGGAGTGTTGTAGGTACTTGTAGAAAACAATAATTTATAGATAGCAGACTGTCCCCGTAAGAGGTATGAAGGAGGGGTACGTAAGAGGTGTAATGCTAGGCACTTAATCCCGACTGAAAAAAATTATAAAAATCCATATAATCCGGATTTCAATGAATGTAATTTATTATAAAAATGCATGCGTATAATTTCCTACGTAATACTATAATTTATAATATTATTATAAGTATTAATCATTAATCATTATTATCTATTAAACAAATTCATTTTTAAATTTATTAAAATTATAAAACTAATTTTAACATCATTTACTTTGTTCCACTCCTGATTCGTCTCGATCGAGAATACGGATTTATAATTGGATAGCATTAATTATTGTATTTAATATTCAGGTCATTGGATTCAAGCCGTCTATCCGCATTCAAACTGATTAATTCCGGATTTCGGGTTAATCTAACTTATGTCCAGGATTATGGAGTATGTGAAGTAATTTTAATTTTAACGTAATTTCATTGATTCGTCAAACATGAAAAATAATATGTTTATGCCGTGAATTATGGAATAATGCATAAACGATTTGTCATGAATGATTTCAAAATATTTTCTATATTTATATCGAACATTTCTAGGGGTAATTAATGAAATGTGCACCCTCTGTGTATGGTTGTATCAGTGGCGTATTTAGGATTTTATCAAGGAGAGAGATATTTAAATTTGAATTATGTTGTTATATATTGTATAATGTGTATCTAAGATAAAACAAAAAAATATATCCAATTTTAAATTTATTATTTATTTATTTTTAATTATTATTATTTTTTTTTATATATCACCCTGATCTCGCCCCCCCCCTTAAATAGGCCATAGTTAATTTGATTCGCCAGCAAATTAAATACCACCAACGCTATACACCACGTCACTGGGTTCCGAATCCGTCTGACGAATATTAATTAATACAGGTAAGCATAATATTATATTATACGTGTATAAAATGTTATTTTATTATATTTTAACGTTTACGTATATCATTATAATGTATAAAGAACCGTTACGACTATTATACTATATATTATACCCATAATTTCTACTCCCCGTTCCGCGTGCGCGCGCGACTGTTTTCGCAATCGTTAGTTTTTTTATCGCTCTCTCGTAACCGGGTCGGATATAAGAAAAATATATATAAAAAAAAAAAAAAACTTATTTGTATTCGCGGCACGTGATCGCTGACGAGCGACGGCCGGAATTCTGCGGCCGACCGTATATTCTGTCGACCGACCACACCGTCGCGGTCGTCCGATAAAGTTCGCCCTAATATAAATCGGATATACTCGTGGTGCACCCGATTAATATAAAATTTTACGCTATTGGTTTCTGCCGAAAAGAGTAGTAACACTTAAGAGATACCCCTACAGTGGCGAATTTTGGATATTTTTTTTTTAGAGAGGGGAAGTTGCCCTGGCAATTTATTCTCCGTATCAAATTATATAACGTTACACGCAGAGATTGATTAAAAACTCGTGATGTCCTACAACACCAGTAGTAGTGAATAACTACGATCCGCAATCATTTATTACTCGGTTCACCAAAGTGTTAAATCGAAATTGAGAAAAAAAAATAACTTCAAAATTCAAAAATTAATGCTCACACATTTAAAAAAAGATATGTTTATACTTATAAATTTTTTCTTATCTATAACATTTAATACATAATAAATAATGAAATATATCACTCACTGTACCTACATTAAGATGTGCCGATACCTACAATAAAATACTTAAAAGTAAAAGTTTAAATTCTTGGCCAGCCAAATTTTTTTTTATATGTCCCTCTGTAAAAAAATGTTGGTTACCACTGTCCTACGCCAAGGTTAGGTTAGATAAGGTTAACCACAGGGATATCTCCCTCCTCTTAAATACGTCACAACAAACCCATAGCAAATCGTACAAATATAGTCGTATAAAAAGCACAGTCGAAAAACTAACAGTAAATACCAAACAAAGTTTTAATTTTTTTAGGACCTGATGTATTATATTTCGTTGTAGGTATAAGATATTTGAATAATTCGATATTGTAATTAAAACGCTATTAGAAGACCGCAAAATCTTAAATAATTTTTACCCGTCCGTGGTTTTATAGGAAATCGAAATTTCGAGACGTTCCATCGTGCTACGCGTCATAATGACTATCGCTGCCTTGCTGACTTTCACTCAATTCATCCTCGTCGCATTTCACGCCAAGAGGAGAAGGATTGCTATTTAAATCGTAATGTTATTCTTTTCAATCGCCCTACTTTCAAGTTGTATAGTCTCCTGCAGTTCTCTTTCCTCTCCTCTTCTATATTATAAATATTCAATTATAACACTCCTTTATTGACGTTTCCCCTAGTTCTTCAATTACTGCCGTTCCTTTGTTATATTAATACGCTGAATTCTTCATTTATTTTATTTCTAATTTCATAATAAGTTTTATTATTATTTTTTTATTTTCGTTGCATTAAGTATTTTAGTTTTAATTTTTCCTCTCTAAATATAAACATATTTGAGTTGAAAAAAAAAAATCTATCACTGTTAATGGTTGTGCCACTGTTTTAGATTGTAGATTATAGGTTGGTAAGGTGTATGATACATTAAGTTATTCATATATGCACACGCAACGATAAATCACTGCTGACAAAATACGATTCTGAGCCATGTTCGGTTAAACATATTTTGAAATACTGTAATTACTATTATTTTCGTCAAAATTTGAACTATACAAAACGCCTATGAAAAAAAAATAATACTACATAAAGTTACATAAGCATTTGTATTAGCCTAAAAATAGTTCAAGAATTTGACCATGTTTAAAAAAGACTAAAATATTCTATAAACATTTCAAATCTCTAGACGATTATATTTAACAAATTTATAGAAAAAAAAAAAAAAAAAAACAAAGCCAAAAAAAATAAAATCGTTGCCATGGACTTTTCCGTTTACAGTTTTTTTGATTCGTATGAAAACCGTTTGGAACGTTAAAAAATAGTCTCCTGAATACACTAACTAGATCCAAAATGTAAAAAATAGGTTTCTTGTGACATTTGTTTTAATAGAACAAGATTTTGGTTGAAATGTGGTTTATATACAGATTTTTTTTTTTTGTTTTAAATACACATACCATAGTAAAACCAATAAATTCCTCACTACGTTCAGAACCTAAAAAAATCCGAGGGTTTCGCGTTTTGCGATTACACGGTGTACACACACTTGAATACGATAAGCCGTTATACATTAGCCATTTTTACAAGATATTTTTTTTTTTTTTTGTATTTACAACCCCCATCGTCGCCGGATTTCTCGGAAACGGCGCAATATACCGTTAAAGTTTATCGTAAAACTCGTACCCTAATAAATATTTACACGGTTATTGTTACCCAGGACTTGTTTTTCGTAATATTTCGTGTTACCCACTTTTTATTTTAGACCATACATTCATGGTTACAAAATTAAATTTGCCCCCATACCCTTAAATACAATTATTTCACCAATTTTTCTACCATTTATAGTTGTTTACAATTTTTTTTTTTTTTAAATATATTTCCAAGTTTAAACTTTATCAAGGAGAATTTGATAAATAACCTTATGTAATAAATAAACTTAAAAAAAATATTACATAATATCAACTAGTTAGTACTTTATTTATACATTATGTTTTCAACAAATTTATTTAAATAACATTCCTATGGGATTAATTCTTTTTTCAAAGTCAGCAAACTAATTATAACAAGCATTAAGATAACACATTTTAAAACATCATAATAATAAATAACAAATTGTAAAATACTTTGTATTTGATCAAATCTCTTTGATACACTTAATCTAAATTTGTTAAACAATTAAAAAAATACTAATATTATACATTTTATAATTTCGTACTACACACAAAAATAGGACCTATTGTTACCGCTAAAGAGTTGTTCCGAAAATAATGTGCGTGTCAAGAAATTGTAGATGGCGATGAGTTTATTTGACGTAATTCGAAATTGAAAGGACAAGCCCGTATTCGAATGATGTGAATTCATTTTTTTTTTTTTTTTTATTATTAATTTTGTTTGTGGCAGATCCCGATAGTCAAGCTGTGGACGAAAGAGAAGAAGAAAAGAATTAGATAAGTGTATTTGTCATTTGACATTTTTCGATAACTAAATTGTCGGAGCAATTAGCGATAGAGTCTTAATAGGCAAAGAATTTAACTCTAACATTGTTTTTGACGATTTCCTAGAAAAAAAAAAAAAAACCCCATAAAAAATTAGTTACGTAACACGTCAAATTATGTTTCCAATAGTAAAAATATTACGTTCGTTGGGTTCGCCTTATAGTCTGTTCGAAATCGTCTAAAACGATAGTTTCGTCAATTTTTGCTCGGGAAATTATACCCGTTTGGCTGTTAAAGTTGTCTTCGAAAAATACGATAACAATACATTGATGTGTAAGTAGGTAGTTCTCCTTTTCGGGTCTGTCCATATTCCCTAATGGCAGACGCCGTGACGGACCCCTTGGGAGGGGAGGGGGGCGATAGGGGCGATCGCCTCCTCCGTTCGCTCTCCAATATACTCTGTACGTCTGTGTTATACTCTTAGCTTAGTATTCATCATTGAGCTCGTCATAAATGCGTGTCTTATATGAATTTTGAAAATCACCCGCGCCGTATCTCGTCCTAGATCCGTCCTTGGACAGACGGACTCAAATGATAGCTCACCGCCGAAATAGTGATCGACCACGGTCGGAAAACGGTAAATATTTCCTCGCGAGAAAATCGTAGCGAATTAATTAATTTTCATTCGATTTCCATAACGTAGGTAGGTGGTACCCGACGCGTCAGTTTACAGGTCCCGGAAACAAGTATGACGCCATTTGATCCAAACAAAACATTGTGTTTGTATACGTAATACTACTGTAAAGCATACATAGAAAATCCGCGCACAAACAACAACGATCGGGATTTCACGCCGTCACGCTATGTTCGTACCGTTTTGAAGTGTTTTTCATAAATTACTGTACGGGTAGGCTTAATAATAACAATTTGCGGAGCGCGGATGTAATGTACAATGTAATCACCCAGCTAGCCAGATTGCTGTGAATGCAGGTGGAAAACACGTGAAATTATCAATCCGCCGTTCAGTTCAACGCCGCCGCCGCCGCCACCCCCCCCCGCGGGTAGCGATGTGAGAAGCGAAATATTGTCGCGGCGAAAAGAATATTCTCGCTTTTTTTCTCCGACGGAAAAATTAATAACAACCATTTCGTCATCGGCGGTCTTGTATTACATACCACCGGACGAAAGCCGCTCTCCGGCCATATTGATAACGGCCGCGTGGGACGGTGTACGGCGGACGCCAAAGTCCGAGGTACGCGAGTATTATGCGATACGTTCCGCCTAGGACTCGTCGACACCCGTGCCTACTGCCCATATTGATAGCCGGATAGACAGGACGGGCGACACGAACGGGTGTTTTAGCGCAGGCACGTACCCAATGGGAGGGGGTGGGGGGGCTATTTCGGGTCCGGACCCCCCCTCCCCCCCGCCGCCGAAATGCAGTAAACCGTTCTCTGGGAAACGCGTGTGCGCGACGCTGTCCGCGTCACAACCGTTATGGCTATAATATTAATTATTATTATTATTATTGGGAATCGTTAACGGTAATCCCGACGGCTATGGATTTAACCGTAATTACAGTAAAATTATTAAAGAACGAATGAAATCAAAACGATAGACTCCCATCCCCGCCTCAGGAAAAAATTCCTGTGCACGCCGCCGCTGTTTTAGCGTTTGGCAACGTGCCGTACTCGTCAAAATGTTTATTGGGCGTATGGCCTTTGCGGCATGGATACGGAGCCGGTAAATTAAATCTGTAACCTCTGCAGGAAAAAAACAATAAAACACAACGACGTACTTGGGTACACAGACGAGAACCGCGCGCTAAAGGAAATTCGCCGGTTCGGTCACTCGACACTTTAATGATCGACCACCGTAACGCATCGCGGACGACCGGCACGTCTACACGGTTCATTCCCACGTCGCCGACGTCCCGTTTTCGTCGACGACATTTTATTTTGTTGATATTTTTGCCTGTAACGTACGTTGCTCGGAGTACTGCCGCCCGTGACTCCGCTACAGCTCGTGTTAAAACGATTCGTCCTTTGCAGGGATTCACGCTAGTTTTCTCTCGATCGTCGCCGTCCGTAAACTTGAATTATGAAGAAAAAAAAAAAAAAACCATAAGAAAAACCCGTTTGAACATCCATCTCTAACCGTTGACGGTCCACCGTTGGTTGTCGACGGTTTTCGTATTTTCGTCCGTCGACGATACTGAATTCGTACATTCGCCTACGGCCGCGCCGCGATTCCGGCGCTGGAATTCCCCTCCCCCTCCCCCCGCCGAGCCATTGCAACAGTGCCGTTTCAATTCGAACCGGTAATTACGACCCCGGCACACGCGCCGGCGCGCCGGAAAGACTGTTAACGCCCTGTGAAACCACGCCGGTGTGTCTGTCGGCGACGCGGGCACCCGCGGTCCGCGTAACGGTACGGTTTCCCTTGCGCGATCGGCGAACTGAGATCGCGTTCGCATCGTCTCGGTTTGTTCTGAACGATTTTACGTCGCGATCGAGAGTAATTTATGTCTCGCCGTTCAGTCGTACTTAATATTTTGACGCGTGAAATACTCTGGTGAACGGTATAAACGAACATACTGTGAATTTTTAAATTATAATGGACACATCTGACGACGTAAATATATTGAAAATTCTTTTTGAAGAAGATGATGACGATGACGTTTCGCTCTTATATTTGTCAGAAGAAAAAAGAAAAGGCCATGATCAATTATTTACAAAGAGAAGTACGGAAGGTTATTATGAAATACTAATCAACGGTCATTTGAAAAATAACGAAATGAAATTTCGAGAATTTTTTAGAATAAATCGTAATCAGTTTGATTTCGTTTAAAATTTAATAAGAGACGACCTAGCCTTAAATCCGACTTTTTTTTTATAAGGAAACCAATAACTTCGTCTTCTACTTTGCTAAATTTGGTCATTGGTGCACTCATTGTTGAAAGACACGACCAACGTCAACCAGCAGTCAATCATAAATGAACGTCATGCACTCATATCATAATTTTCTTTCAAAATAACAAACTAATCGCGTTCGCGATCGCGCAAGGCAAACCCCAACCGTATTCAATTTACATTGTATCAGCAGTCGCGCGACAACGATGCGCGGTCTCAGATCGGATCGCGCAATGGAAACCGTACCATAACGCGACGCGGTAATTTTCAGACCGTTCCGAACGCCGTATCGGTACTATTGCGTTCTGAAATACGTTTGTTTGTTTGTTTGTTCGTTCGTTCGGAATACGTAAGCACGCCGAAACAAGTGGAGGTGCCCACCCGCCCGTCACCGCCACCGCAGCCGCGTGAACGCTGGGGCGCGGCGGTCGACGGCTATGTATACAAATCCCCGCGCCAACGTTGAACACGGTAATATTATAACAAACGACGACAACAACAATAATAATTCGATCTTTGATCGTTGACGGCGTTTGTACCCGCCGGATCGCGTTCGATTGCGGCGCGCGAAAAACGCCGAGCGCGAACCACAATATTTGTTTTGGGCGCGCACAATGGGCGCACGACACCAAACGCAATAATAACAATAATAACAATGAGCGGGCCGTTAAGTAACGGAGTCGCGTTTATTTGCGTCCGCGCGCCGCGTTTGTTTTCCGAGCCGACCGACAAAACCGAACGAACGAACCGCGCGCGCCGTCGCACGCCCCGCCGCGTTTATGGCTTCGGCGCGTCGGCAACCGATTTCCGCGAAACCGCGCGGCGAACGCTGTCGGCTCGTCGGGACCCCGATAACGGGCGCTAAAAACGGTCGCGGGAATCCGCATCGGCCGCCGCCGCGGATAACCGACGCGGTGTAAATCGGTAATTACCGTTGTTGTTATTCTCGACTCCTCGTCGAATGCGCAGGGGAAAACGATAATCGGAATTATAACAATAATAACCGACAGCCATTGGTTTCCAAAGTCCCGGCGAACGCGTTTCGCGGGGTCGGCGTTTTCGCGCCCGCGCTCTACCGTACCGGTACCCCGTCATTCGTTTAGGCGTCCCCCGACAACAGAGCGAACGCAAAGGCGCGCGACCGTAAACGAGCGAAAAACCCGTCGTTTTAAGTTTTGGCACAGACATTTCGCGGTTTTTTTTTTTTTTTTTTTTTCTCTGTCCGTCTTCAACTCCCGTCTGTTGGACATTTTACACGCGCCGAACGTGCGATTTGTAACGTTACGCGCGGAAACATTTTAAGCGGTTTTTTTTTTTGTTTTTCTTCCCCTGCGAAATATTTTACGATCCGATTCGAGATTACGAACGGGATTACGGGCAGCAGAATACATATTATAACGGGGATTTATTGAACGCCCGCAAAGACAGCGGATGAATTCGGCGGAAATCGGATACGAGCAGTCTCGATCCGGAATGAACAATACGAGGAAAAAAAAAAAACAATTGCGCGGATTCGGCCGAACGGATTCGAAAATAACTAGTAAACGCGTACCGCAAAAATTATAATTTTTATCGTAACATTTTCATATTTTTTCCATAATCGATTATTCGTTAATTGTTTTTTTCAATCAAACGATTTTCGCTGTTTCGTATTCAATATTTCGTGTTCGATTTATTTATTTCGCTATTTTTTGGTTGGTGAACCCTTCTCTTAACGGACGGCCGGTGCCGTGGCGACGGATTCGCGATCGGTACCTGAGCCATATTTTTTTTTATCGAATTGGTACGCATGGAATAATAACTAAGCGCGTCGTACGGGAACCGTTGGTTTTTGTTTATCATTACACGGGAATATTATCGAACACTGTGTTGAGCGTGTTATTTTCCCCGATTGATACTGCTCCCCCCCCCCACCACCACCACCGCCACGTCGACCGTACATTTTGTACCTTACGGCTATCTCCGACGGGGAGTTCCAATATTTTATTTCGTTTCGCGGGTTGGTACAACTGCGCGGTAATTATTTTTGTCGTCCGGTTTTTGGTCACTCGGCGTGCTGCCGTTATTAATATGTCAGTACAAAGGTTAGGTTGGATAACGATCCCGAGATAATATTATTGCTCAACGCGTAATATTGTTATTGTATTGCCGACGGATAGCATATGACGCAGTGAATAACCGCTGAATGATCGGCCAATCGGTTTTTGTTCGCCCCGCGGTCCGAAAACCCTGAACCCCCGTGTTGCGAAAACGGCGACGGGTCACGATTACCGGTGTACGACGGTTTATGGGCAACACGACGTCGGCAACCGTTGACACCATTCGTTGCCCCGGGGATACGTCGGCAACAAATTTGTCGGATACAGTACGCGTACGCGGATACGTGCCGTCAACGACAATCGAAAAAACGGATCGGACATCGGAATATGATTTTTGTGTGTCTGACTGTTTCGGGGTCAGAACCCGTCGCGTTTGATGCGGTCCGCCGCCAAACCGCCGCGCGCGACGGAGCGCGCCGCTCGTAAATCCCGCTGTAACACGTATTGAAAACTAAAAAAAAAAAAAGCCGATTTTACATAATTGGGTGATGTGCCGCTGTTACAGAGAATGTACGACACGTTAAGTTATCGACATCCGTACGCAACGGTAGACCGCCGATGACGCAGTACGATTTTGAGCGAAATCCGATTAAACGCGTTTCGAAATGCAGTAATTTTTACGATTTTCGTCAAAATTTGAACGAATCACTAAGAACACCACTACTACATTAAGCTCGACGTTATTGTTCGGTCACCATGTACCGTCGGTAACGAACCTCATATTATGTCGTCAATCGTTTCTGAATTCTAAAAACAAAACGCTACCGCATTTTCAAATGCCCATAAATAGCTCAATAATTGCCAGAATATCACCGTTAACCATTTATTCACGCCATAAACTCTCTGGTTGTCCCCAGTTTTTCGCAATTATTCAGAAAAATACACGCCAATACAAAATAAACGTCGTCGAAATAAGACAACATTTTTTTTTCAGAAAAGACTATACTCTTAACGTTGATTTTTGATAGAAAAATAAAAATTGAAAAAAATTCGATTATACCGTTCTCGGAAACCGACGGTTCTTAGTCGAATTGCCGGGTGCCCGAATAGCTTCCCGCTTTTGGCCTTCCCGAGAACATCCCAATTTGGGCCTGAAATCGCCGTTTTTACCCTCCCTCCCTCCCTCGGACATTAGGAAGTCTATAGACGGTTTTATTAGTGCCGACCCGGACGGTCGAGGACCAAAACAGGAATTTCCCGTAGACGGTCGGCGAGTCCTAAAATGAATTTCTGTAACCTTTCCGGGTGTCGCGCGCGTGTGCTGTTAGGTTTATATTATACCCAGTTTTTCGGAAGTTCGAATCGATGATTTTTCAACGACGGGTGGGGACGACACAGAAGGGAGCACCGACACCGTAACAAAATAATATAAATTAAACCACAATGTGCCGACATGGTATAACATAATATAAGGGTCGAAACATATTTTTTGGTATACCGATCTAACAGCTAATAGATGGAAAAAACTCGAATATTTGCAACGATAATGTTTTAATATGTTTTGTAATGGCGGACGGGAAGGGTAAAAAAAAAAAAAAAAAAAAAGGCCATGGGAGCGGATCTCTCCCTCTGTACACGAGAACACTTCCCCCATGTTTAGACCGTTGTGAATGAACGGGTTAAAAAAAACCGTAGGTAATAGTATAAAATACACGTTGACAACTAACACGAAACCCATTGTCGTATGCGAACAATAATAAATTATTATAGACAAAAATATAGCGAATTTCGACTTCCGGATGGACCGACTTATTGGCAGTGCCGTGACCAGAACTTCTAGTGCCCGTGATGACAAAATATAGTATAAAAGCCCAAAAAGCCGATCCGATAAGTAAAAAAAAAGAAGAAAAAAACTCATTCACAAAGACCCTCGCCAGTGTCCAACAATGTCTTAAACTCCTGGCCAAGGCCACCGCTAAGGCCCTCATCAGTTTGTTTGCCCGTAGAGCGTTTGTCCATCTTGCCCGCCCAGCATTTACGCCACTGCTTATTGGATAGCGTGCGAAAATTAACCGCCGTCTAAACGGGTTTTACAGTTTTCTCAAAAATCCTCCGTCGGTCCGAAAAGAATTCCCGTAGCACCGCACTCAAAACGATATTTAATTTCCGAAGTTCGATCGCCTATTCAAGTTGCCGGAGACTTAAGAGACTTACGGGAACCGGGATTTATATTTAAATATATAAATATGTAAATTTCGTGTATATCATTGTAGAAATTAGTGTGTAGTACCTATTATCTAGGTGTGTACCTATAATAGCGTTTCGTTTAGCGTTTTTTTTTTTTTTTTTGGCAGTGTTATGGAAATTTATGTCACATTAAAACATTATTTATGTCACATTTTTTAGGTATTAAATTTGAAGGTTTTTGTTTTTGCTTATTTCGACAGTTTTAAAGGGGAAAAATATGATTTTTTACTAGTCATTGCATATTAGCTGATTCTATGGTACTAAACGATTGCGCGTACCTTTCTCCGTTACGTTTTTACAGACCGTTTGATCAAAACATTTTCGAAAAATGAAGGTAAAATAACGGGGCTGGGTGCAGCCACTGGTATCGGTGGGAAGTTGGGAAGGCAGGATATAGACGGGAAGTTAATGTATATTTGTAAACAACAATAAACCATAACTTACGAAAAAACGATTCTGGGCGGAGTTCAGTTAATAGTGATGCTTTATCAACAATATGTACGTGTCATTTTATAATAAAATAATTAAAAAGGCTCTATATATTTTCTTTAATAAAATTTGTTTAATGTTGTACCGATTTTCTCAGCTTTTCTACGTTTTTCTCAGTTTTCCCATGTTTTATCCCGGTTTTACATACATGCAGAGAAAACTATTGTGAAAATTGAAAAATGACCTTTTTTAAAGTACCTCCCTAGCGAAGTTTCCTTTTAGAAACATTGCTGTTGTTAAAAGACGGAGCAAAATTGCTGGTAGAAAAATTGTCCACAGTAAAAAAAAAAACATCTTTGTAAAACCATAAGATTTCTTTGCTCCACTCAGAATCTAAAAGAATATTCGTCCCCGTTATATAGGTGACGCGACCGAAAATTTTTGAGGGGCGTCGTCGCACGTTTACACGTAGTTATTAAAAAACACGCGTTTTAATATATGTATATATTACTTATAGTTCGGATGGACGACAAGACACCCGAAACACCCACCTGGTCGTGCCACATTACCCGTTTTAATACGACATAATGTACGTATCATTTGTCTACGTTTTTCACTAAACATTTTAATGATTCCACGATCCGTTCCGTTACAGGAATATTCGGACTAGTTACTAAAACCTTATAATTTAAAAGTATTACGTTTTTAAGCCAAACAGTGAAGTTCAAAACGTTTGGCTACACGACAAAAGTAATAACTCTCGAGGGGCTCGCGACAATTTTCCCGACCGTTTGCCAACACACACGCGTTATTACTCGGTAGATTAAAATGCACACATTATTAAAAAAAAAAAAAAAACAATTATTATCGGTCGAACGATCGCGTTCGATTGTTCGGGAAACATTAACACGCGATATCTAATCGTTATTCATATACGATGCGGGCGAAAATCTACGGGAACCCAGACCCTTTATCGACTTTTTTTTTCTCCCCCATTGGAGTATCGGAAAAATATTCAACGTAACGTTCCGTTGTTGACGCGATCCACGACCGGATCATTCCCGCGGCGCCGACAACCCAATTTGCCGACATCCCATTTCGCCGACAACATTTTCTTTTGTCAATATACTTAATATCCGTGACGTACATCGCTTGAAGGGCCAAAACCCGACTGAGCACGGTTGCAAATTAAACAATAGAACCCGAAAAACAACACGATTGAGCACGGAAATAGGTGCGACGTTGCCACTTTTGTACAGTAGAATATTATTATTAAAAAAATAAAATACATTTGAACATAGATATTTATGAATAAAAATCGTTTATTGGTATTTAATCGCATACTATTACATATTAGGACAGCGTTCGCTGGCTCAATTAGTTTAGTGTACATTACAATTAAAATTTATTCCCGTAAATACCAAATATATATATAAAAAAAAAATATCATTTTTTATACATCGCCAATTTCAACAATTAACATTTCTTGAAAGCTCCAACATTTGCCAACTGTGCCTCTCTCGGATAAAATAGTTTGTATTCGATATTTCCCATCATAAAAATCGTATTATTTGCAAAATACACGCTATTTTTGTAGGAACACGAGCGCGGGACGACAGAACAGACCGAACGTGACCGAGTCTTATTTACAGCGTAGGTAAATACGATAACAGTTAATCACAATTTAGTGGAACCGTTGTAGATAAAATTCTGGTTTTTTTTTTCTATTCCATTTATTTTCAACTTCCGTGGGTACCCATCGATCGGTAACGAAATCTTTTTCCACCAGTATGTTAGTTACCTACAGTCGGCAATCTATACAACGTACGTACTAGTGACAATCTGACAACGTTTATTTATTTTATCGTGTTCAATCGGGTCGTCGAAAAGGTCGGCCAATAACGGCCTTGAAGTGCGCCTACTCACGATGACCTCATCGTCACAATAGTTCGTGTTAAAATAACACGCTTCCGCTGTTGTTCAATGCAGGGATTGCACTCGGTTTTCTTGAACTACTTGAATAACTCGAATCCAAAATGAAATATGATTCCGTTGTAAAGTCGATAGTTTAAAAAACCAGAAACATATTGAAAACAATCGCACGCCGTCGCTGCTGTACTAAACTGCAAGACTGTACCGCCGACGTTAAACAAACGAAAATAACAGGAAAAATCATTTTCGACGTTTCTCCCGTCGTCGATTACCTATTGTTATTGTCGACAGTTTTCGTATTTCCGATAATACCGAATTTATACGCTTTATGTACCGCTCGTGCCGCGATTACCGGCGCTGGAATTTCTCACGTAACAATCGTTTCGCTGCGACAACAATAATATTTCGGTTCGTGATAGCAATAAAAAACCGATTTACGCGTCGGCGAACGGGAAGACTTTCGATATGCTTATAAAACCGGTTCTGTTTGTCGGCGAAACGGGTGTCGGGCGCGCGGAAAGACGCCGCGAAAAGCCGGACGCGACACGAAGGAATATCGCGTTTGACGGAATTCAGTTTTGAAAACCGATTCTTTGGGTATTTTACCGCGAGACACAGGATACATGTTCGGCGATCGTTTCATTCGGGAATCGTGCGTTAGTCTGTATCATTGAAAAAAACCGTACCCAAAACACTCCGCTTACGACGTAGAGAATCGGAACCCGAAAAAACAAAACTATAAAAAAAAAGTTCCTAAATGTACTATGAGAACTGTGCGTTCAAATTTCTCAAAACGCCGGTACACAAAAGCGCAAAACAATAAAGGTCTGTTTACACACATCCGTTCCGTGTCCGACGTTTAAAGTTTGTTTACTCGTTACGAAATGGGCATGTCCGTTCCGTATCCGCGCGGTCCGTTTCTCCGTATTTTAAAATTTGTCGGAGACAATGTTTTCGGGGATTTCACCGGTACGGATATGGAAAACACGGAGCAACGTAAACAGCCGTCGGTGACAGCTGACGGCCCGATCGGTTTGTTCTTTCCCACCTGTTCTTTTCCTCTGCTTCATCCGGCGGCCAGGCGAGTGCTGCTAGATCTTCTAGCGATTCGTCTACGCATTTCGGTCGTGTTATGATTTTTTTCAAACGCCCAAAAGCCGAAACAACGGTGAAAAAACGGAATGTAAAAAAAAAACGCGCGTGCGCTCGGTAATTAGATTCTGGCTGCACTGAACGGGCACGGACAACGGGAACGGTTATGTGTAAACAGACCTTGATGGTATCGTTCGATTCGGCGGGCACGGGCGCGCGAAGCGAATTCGCATCCGGGTCGACGTCGAATCGGATGAACATTGGGGGGGGTGGGGCAAAATAAAAAATCCGCGATTTCTTGTCACGCCGCTCTTCGGTGCCGTCGCGGTGTACGCACGGTCCGGAATAACGTTTTATCGCGCGTTTACCGGGTGCCACGGCACACGACCGACACATTAGCGACTATTTCACCGAGACATCGTCGCCGTCACCCCCCTCGGCACGGTCGAACGGCCGGGCGGATACAGGCGCTCGCTCGGTTCGTTCGTTTATTTTTTTTTTCACGCGCCGGCCCGGCGGTTGCGCGCCTCGGACACGACGGGAGTGCCCGCGAAACAACGCGACGCGACGAACGGGGGGCGTTTACACGGGACGGGACGCGTTGGGGGTTCGGAACAGGGTATTGGAAAAAAAAAAAAGACTGCGTATTAATTTTTCGTTTTGTTTTAAGGAATAACAAAATGTATTATATTATCATTCGCAACATTTTTACACATTATAATAATAATCGATGATGATGATAATAATAATAATAATAATAATAATAATTATATAATAAAAAAACTTCTATTAGCGAACAATGTTTTATTTCTTTTCCATATATAATATATACAATATATATTATTTTATCGGTACAATAAAGCTCTAAAAAAAAATACAATATAATATATATTTTTATTCGTCATACATATATAATTATGTTATTAATAAAATATATTCGTATCAATTTTTTTTTCTTATTATCATTATTATATTATAGATATACGTATCCTTCTACAAATGTATCAATTTTTTTTTTTCATTATTTCTTATCACCTGGGTAACGTTTTGTTTGTCAAATTGTAATAAAATTTCACGCACACACAATGCGTTTCAAAAAAAAAAAAAAATAATAATAATAATAATAATATAAAGGAAGACTTGGTAATGGAGCCCAAACGAGTGTTGTTTTTTTTGGTGGGGGAGGGGGAGGGGCGTTGTACACCGTTATGAATTTACAAATGTAAAAAATAAAAATAAATAAACAATAAATAAATAATAATAATAATAGCAAAAAAAAAATGCACAAAAGAAACTTTCACTTATACGCTCGTCACTGTAGAAGGTACGCGCTTCTGTAATTAAAAAAAACAAAAAAAAGTAATAAAAGAAAGAGAAACATATTATATTAGCCACCCGGAACTTGCTTTATTCCCTCTCTTTTTTTTTTTATTATCGAATACACCTAATATATATTACGCTAAAATCGCTATTACAATATTATTATCACACAGATTAAATAAAAAAAAAAAAAACAAACAAACAAAATTAGGTAAGTACGGAAATAAATCCGGAAGACTGATCCTATTTAGCTTAAAAATAAACGCACTAAACATTCGTCTACTGTAGCGGCGAAAAAAACACGGTTAAATGTTTAAAAGTCTCTATTATTTTTTTTTTTTTTATATATATATTTTTTTATTGTTATTTTTTTTTTTTTTTAGAAATAAACGTAAATATTTTATCATTACATATTTATTTATTAAACATAGGAAAACAAATTAAAAAAAAAAAAAAAAACAAAACAAATTTGAGAACTCTTGTTAAATATTCCCCCTCCCTTGTGCTCCTGATTCTACTACAAAAAAAAAAAAAAAAAACAAAATAATAATATACGATAACAAGAACTTTCTCTTTTTGTACTATCACTATACTATACGATTAGCCTAAACCAATCGGTTATACTAATTTTATAATATTATATTATTATAAAAAAAATTGTCTACTTTAACGATACATTTTGTCTATACGTTGTTTTTTTTTTTTTTTTTTTTTATTCATATATTACGCTTAATAATTATACAATATTTTATATACTTAAAATTTATGTTTATACACATGTAATAATAATAATAATTTTACTCTCTTTTCGGGAAAAAAAAAACAAAAAAAAATTGAAAAAGAGACCGATTGGATGAATTTAACACAGCCCTTGTTTGATTATCTACAGTTACACAAAAAAAAAAAAAAAAAAAAAAATCATACATTTATTATGTACACACGTCATTCGCGTATGGTAAATGCACGCATACGTACAAATAATGAAAAAAAGTTTTTTTTTTTGTTTTCAAAAAAAATTAACAATAGATTTTTATATTTTTAATATATAGCTTAATACGATAATGTGAAACGAGATATAATAAACACGGGGAGAGAGAAGAGGAAAAAAAAAACAATTTATTTGCGCGTTCGGTCGTTATTGCACGTCGAAATAAAAGAACGAAAAATTAAAACAACAAATTATTTATGATTTTTGGTCGTCTCCGCCGTAAGTTCCGTACGCGACATACTCGCCGGAGGAGGGAGGCGGATGCTTACGGTGGAAAAAACGCAACAAAATATTTAAAAAAAAAAAAAACACAAAATATTATCGCGCCGTACGTACACATAGGTAATTATTTTATCGGGTAAGAAACAGAAATTAAGTGAAAACGAAAACCTACAAAGAAAACAACAAACAAATGTAGAGGGTTTTTTTTTTTTTTTTTTTTGTGTGTCCCGCGAATTTCTCATCGCGTTTGTCGACCGTCGTCTTCCGGCGGCGACGTCGTCGGCGGTCGGCCGTCTTGCGGCGGCGACGACGACGAAGGTGACGATTATGACTCTAGCGAGGCGATTAGGTTCCGGAACATGGCGGATTGCATCTCGCTGAACATGGACGCCTGTCCGCACGACAGGCTGGTGGGCGACGTCGACCCGGAAGCGGCGACGGTCGACGAGACGCCGAAGTGATCGTCCTGGTGGGTGGACGACGACGCGGACGCGGACGCCGACGACGTCAACGTGGTCAGCGACGACGACGAGGGCAGCGGACAACAATCGGTGACGGCGACAGACTGGGCGGCCGCGGCGGGCAACAGCACGTCCTGGTGTTCGACGGCGGCCGGCACTTGACCGCCGTACAGGTCGAGGGTGTCGTCGCAGCACGACGTGTCCATCAGCGACCAACAGTCGGACGAACAGAGATCGGCGGTCGTGACGGACGAGGACGTCGTCGTACTGGTCACCGACGCGGCGGTCGCGGCCGCGACTGCAGCCGCTGCGGCCGCCGCCTCGTCCGTTCTCAGTCTCTTGGCGGCCGGATACTCGTGCAGGTCCAGGTCGACCACGTTCACGTCCTCGTCTTCGCGCTGGTTGTTATTGCATATGAACTGCGACAATAGGTCGTCGAGCGGTTCGTCGACGGACGGTCTCCTCCGCTTACCGCACGGCGACGACGACTGGCCGCCGGCCGCGGTCGACGACGGTAACTGCATCATTATGGACGCGATCGTGTCGTCGTCCTCGTCCTCCACGTCATCGTACGTGTACTGCACGGGTAAGCTGCAGCCGGACACCGACGACTGGTGGGTTTGGTGAAAATTATGGTGGTGATGGTGGTTCTGGTGTAGGTGGCTTTGGTGTAGGTGGTGGTGTTGGTGGTGCTGGTTGTGGTGGTGATGGTGGTGGTGCGAGTGATTGTGCAGAGAGTTGAGGTGGTGATGATGATGGTGGTGGTGGTGGTGTTGGTCGGCGGCGGTTAAGGACGACGATTGTACGTCCATCATCATGGGTTTAGTGGTGGTATTGTTGTTGTTATTGTTGATGTTGTTGTTGTTGTTGTTCGCCAGGGTTTTGCAGACCCCGACAACGGCACCGTTGGTTCCGACGCCGCCGGGCCCGACGCCGTTGGGCGACGACTCTCTCAGGTTGGTGATGTCAACAAGTTGCGGGTTGCCGCCGCCCGTTCCGCCACCGCCGCACGGCTGCGCCTGTAGCTGCGGACTGTGGTAACCGTGGTAACCGGTCGACGTCGGGGACGGCGGGGACGCCGGCGACGTCCGTCCCGTTGTCCGGTCGTCCCGGGTTTCGGCCTGCAGCCGCTTGACCGTGTTGTTGATCAACACGGACCGGCACAACGAGCTCTCCGCGTCGTCGATTTTCTTCATTTTGTTCACGGATATCTTGAGCACCTTGCGCCGTTCCTCTTTGAGCCGGTACTTGGCGCTGATCATGGACGGCCGCGAACCGGAGTTCCAGCCGTAACTCCTGCGGGTGCCCAGCAGCTCGTCGATCTCGTCCATGATGGTAATGTTCTCGCTGGACTCGACGGGTCTCATGTCTACAAGCATTTGTGTCACGTTGGGTGGTTCACGTGCAGCGGTAGAATGGCATCCTGTAAACGGCAAAAACAGAAAAACAATCGGTTAGAGGCGAGTCGTTTTATTATCACAACAAAGTCGGGCGGCGGGGAAAATGGAAACGCCGGCGGCAGCGGAACAGAAACGGACGACGCGACCGGACCGACGACGAAAATTACGTTCGTGTCGTTTCCCGCGCGGTCGATAAAAACGGCCGTTTTCTCCGGCCGTTTCGTATTGTTTTTTTTTTTTTTTCTAACACGGCGTTTTCGTTTGTTTGTTGTTTTTTTTTCCATATTTTATTCGTTATGTCGCGAAACGGACGCGTAAAAATCGGTCGGGAGGTCGTTCGGCGCGGCGCGCTCGTGTCGTCATCGGCGCGTTTGGAGGTTGCGGCGGTCGGCCGCGCGCGTAAAGCCGCAAGGCCGAGACGACACGCGAAATAATAATAAAAAAAAAAAACAACACGAGCGGCGTTGAAAAGCGGCCGTTCGACGGGCCGACCTTGGGAATCTTCGCCGCGTAATATTATTGTTATTATTATTAGATTATCGCGCATAAATTAATCGTAAAGTTGTTGTTTTTGTTTTTGTTTTTTTTTCCGATTAACGACGAGAATATTTTCTTGATCGTCCGTAATAACGGAGATGAGTCCCGAGGTAGGGGAACGGCGTTCGACGCGGCGA